GCCCCGAGAAGCCTGGCCCCAGAGCTGCAGGAGCTGCGCCATTTCTGAAAGCTGCCGTGACGCAGAGCGGTGGGTGGGGTGGTGGCGACTGAGCTCCCACTTTTGACCCAAGTGGCGACGTCTGCAAATGTGGAGTCACCAGAGGGAGTCACCGGGAGGGGCTGAAGCTTACGCCAAGGCAGGAATGTAGGAAAGGGCAGCGCGGGGGTCTGGCTGCAGGTGTTGCAGGCTTGTCATTGTCTCCTTCAGTCAACAACTGTCTTGCTCAAGAATAGAGCTGAGAGGCCCTGGGGGCGCAGCGGGCTAAAGCGCAGCACTGTGAGCCGCCGCAGCCGCTGCAGCAGGAGCTCGATCCCGGCCAGGGCGTGGCCCACACGGCGCGGCTGACCCCTGCTGCCTCCCCGCCGCCCCCCCAGCAGTGAGCTTCAGCCCGTCCCCTGTTCTGCTCCCCGCGCTGTCTCTGGGGAGCCCTCCCTGCTCCACACCTTGCCCTGTGCCTCGTCTTTGCATGCACACATGAACACGAACAGATCTTCGAGCAGAAGGGGTGGCAGACGCACAGTCCATCAGAGCCCAAGCTCACTGCGGGCTGGGTCTTCTCTTTTACCTCCATCACGCCCCCAATCTGAAGCCAGGTCAGGGAGCTCACCGCCACCAGCGTGCCCACGCCAGATGCCAGAGGAGCGCAGCACGTTCCTGGCGTCCGCAGAATCCACGGCGCCTGCTGCTCCCGCCCCTGGCGAGTGGCAACCGCACGGCCCTCAATTGGCCCTCGATTGGCAACGATCGCGCCTCGGAGAAAGCTCGCGGCTACGGCGCTGCCACGGAGCACAGCTGACTGCACGGCCCTCGCCTCTCTTCCCACCCGCATTTCTTTGGCCTGCGCTGCGTGGACCCTCTGGCACTTGGCCCCCTCGGGGGCTGACTCAGGACTCCTGAGAGCGTGGTACTGCTCTCAGCCTGCAGCCCTGGGAGCTGTGCGAGGCGAGGGAACGAGCCTGAGTGGGCTGGGCAATGAGAAGCCCAACTTCTCATTCCGGGGTACACCGGAAGCGATGCGCAGCCCCTCCAAAGGTGGGCTCGGGTTTATTACTCAGGCGGAAGGCGGGCCAGGGGGATGCGTCCCTGGGGACGTGAGGCAGGGCGGAGCCCAGGGCATCGCCTGCGCCCCTGTTCCTGCAGTCAGAGCCTACCACTGTCTGCCTGCCCTCTTCAGCAGGGACTGGCCCCCCGTGTTGCCTCACACCGGGACCTCGGCTCCTGCACGACCGGCTGCCTCGCTGACCTGCCAGACTCTGGTGCCAGACAATGACCCCACGAGTAAGGACGGCCAGGCACCCCCATGTGGGGAAGGGCTGTGTGAGACAGGGGGCCTCTGCAGCTGTCACAGGCGTTTGCAGAACTCCAGGCCCAGCAGCTCACGCAGCACTTCCAGAGCTGGGGCAGGCAGCAGCGCGGACTCTCCAGTGGGGGCTTGTACTCTGCAGAAGGGTCTTTCCAGCAGGCCCAGGGTCTGTGCTGCTCTGGTCACAGCTAGTCAGTGGCTCCCGAAAAACTCCCTTCCCGCCTCTCTGGGCAGAACTGGGTCGTCGGGGGCAGCTGCTGGCCACCTCCAGTCCTGGGCGCTACTGAAAATCCAGGGGAATAAGTTGGGGAGCACAACTGAAGGTGGATTGTGGCCTAATGTGCTCAGGGATCGTCTCTGCAGTTGTAGAAATTCAAAATGAGGCGACTTGTCTTTCCCTTTTGGCAGAGACAGCACAAGATGCTGAAGTCACTGGATTCCCAAACTTTGCCCCTGGTGGCAGACCCCTGGATTTCCTTTTTGTAAGAAGTTGGGAGACCTCCATGTTGATTTATTTATTTCTAAATATTTATCTGTTCATATAGGACTGGGGGATAGCCCAGAGGTGCAGGGCGGCGAGAGGCTTCACCAGAGCCAGAGCGGGGAGCAGCACAGGCAGACGGACGAAGCCCACCGCTGAGGGGAGCCGCGGGGGGTCAGGAGGGGTCCGCCGCGCCCTGGGGTCACCTCCGGGCCCGGGGATTGAACTGGGACCGAAGCGGCTGAGGCTTGCTTGCAGTGCTGCGCCCTAACCCACTGTGCCACCAGGGAGGGCCCCAGGCCCCTGAATTTGTCAAGATTCTAGCTCCCATGCTACCTCCCGGGCAGAGTGTCCCTGCCTCCAGGATTAGTTAGTGTGGGGTGCTCAGGGGGTGCAGCGGTGGGAATCCTCGGGGAGCAGCTCGCAACTCAGGTCCTTGCAGAATAAACCATGCTGGGGAGACAGCCGGGGCGCCCTGAGCCTGCTCAGCGGCCCCAGTGGCCGTTCTGGGAGCCATCGCTAGTTAACAGGGAAAAGTATTTTCTTGGTCCGTGCTCTCCTGCAGGGGCCTGGCTGGGCTCGTGTGCTTCAGTGGCGACGTGGTCGGGCGCAGTGGCTGGAGGTGGTGTTGCCACTGGCTCTCTGGACGGTGATGTCATTCTCCAACCCGCTTGTGGCTGGGCCACCCCAGGAAAAGGGGAGGTTCCGGGGTCCCTGCCCCATCCAAGGGAGGGTGGAGCTGAGCAGGGAGGAAAAGCTTGAGAAGTCAGGGAGAAGGAGGGGAGAGGGCCGAGGAGTCCTGGAGCCGGTGCGTGGCACTCAGAGACGTGTGGAGAAGCAGCTGTGCGCGTTTTTCGGCCTTGGACTCATAACAGGGACTCGGGGGCTTGGGAGGAGACACTTGGAGAGACAGAAACATGGGGAGAGACCCGCGGGGAGCTGACGGTGGCAGCCTTTGTCTTGACTTACATTTTCCTTCCAAACTTGCCTAGTCTCCATGGCCCCTGCCATATGGGTGCCCACCAGGAGGGGCCTTAGACGTGGGCAGGCGTTGGGGCCCCAGGGACCCTGCGGTGGGCCAACCCCGCCTGGCTGGGCGTTTACCCATGAGGGGATGGGTCACTTGGGGTGCCTGATTGGGAAGCTGTATTCTTCCTCTTTCTCTTCTTTTTGCTGATCACTAATTGTATCAGTTGTTTCCCACTGAAGGTCTGATGCCCAAGAGTTTGTTCTGTCTTGATGCAGCAGATGGCAAACACATTTAGAATGGGCAGGCTTGGGGGGGTCCTGGGGTGCCCTTCCCCCTTCCGATAAGCTGAGTGTGCTGTGGCGGCACCATTCTATGCCTGTTGGTGAATGCGAATCCCCAGCTCCCCTTGTTCTTGGCATGTTGTCTTGGCACCAAAGTTCCAGCTGGTCAAGCTAAAATGTGGAGTCAGGCAGGGGCCTCTCAGCAGGACAGAAGTCTTGGTATGAAGGTATCTGCTGAAAGCAGGCAGACGTCATGGCCGGAATGGCTTCACGAGCCAGACCACCGTGGCAGGATGCTGAGTGTCAGCAGGGAGCGGAAGTAGGATGTTCTGACTGACAGCAACAGTGGAGCCCCCAGGCACCAGCCCCCACTCACTCCCCTCTAGCGGTACCAGACTATTATGTACCCCAACCCACATCCCCGCCATGCACATTCCTCCACATACTTGCCCACCTTCCCTAAATCTGATCCCCACAATATGTGAGGCGGGACTGGAAATAGAGGTCTCTGGAGGCGCAAACTCCTCTCTCTCTGCTTGGACTTCAAGTTGTCTTTCCTCTGCCTGCATCACTCCCAGCTCTGCCGCCCTGCGAGGCGACAGGTGGACACCATGGGCCTCAACTCTGAGGGCCTCCAGGGGTGCAGAGGGGCTCAGCTCCTAGCACCACGAGGGGCCCTTCTTTGCTCCTATGTGTTACCGTGGCCTCTGTCTTCTATCTGTTCGACTAAATCAGGAATCAAAGCCAGAGAGTGAAACCTGGAAACTGCCCACCCCTGGAAGACATGCCCAGCAAGAACAGTGAAGTATCTGTGCAAACCTGTCAGACGTCTCCTTGGTGACTCTGTGATTTGGGATTTTGATGATGGGCCTCCCTACGCAATACTGCTATTTCTTATTTATTTATATGAGTCGCCCAAATTGATTTGATGGGCCTCACCCACCCACAGGCCTCACCTGTCTACAACGCCTAGCTTATGTAGTTTCAGAAAGCGTCTATTTTTTTCTATAACAGACGGGCTCAAATTTCAGGATACATATGAGTCACCCAAAGGATGTTGTGAAAACGCAGATTCTGGCGCTCTCCCTGGATTCCTGCTTCCCTAAATGTAGGAAACATGTAGTCCCCCCAGGGGAAGCGGGTGCTGTGACCCACATACCACACGTTGACCAACGTGGTGCTAGAGATTCGGTGCAAATGCCCTAATAGGTTTGCTGATTCAAGCTCAAAAGCAGGAGTGCCCTGGGCCTGGCACGCGGAGGCAGTGGCTGAAGCCCAGCCCTGGTTGGGGGAGGGCTAGCGCCTCAGCGGCACTGCCTCCTCTTTGTCGGCAGGGGGCGCTTTGGCCGGGTTCATAAATGTGAAGAGAAAGCAACTGGGCTGAAGCTGGCGGCCAAGATCATCAAGACCAGAAACAAGAAGGAAAAGGTAACAGGTGCAGGGGGGAGGTGGGGTGCTCCTGGCACCCCGGCATTCCCTCCCTACATTAACACATCTTTACATCTTAGGATGAAGTGAAGAATGAGATCAACATCATGAATCAGCTGGACCATGTGAACCTCATCCAGCTCTATGATGCCTTCGAGTCTAAGAACGCCGTTGTCCTGGTGATGGAGTAGTAAGTGTCCCTCCGCTTCCCCTCCCTTCTCTGCCAAGCAGGCTCACAGGTCCAGAGCCCCTACGCCCCCAAGACCCAGTTCCTGTCTTGGAAGTGGGAGGTCCGTACAAGTTCAACAGATTCCGCACTGGGTCCATTGGGCCGTCACATCGTCTTCAGCAAGGGAATTACCTGGGAGCAGGCACCTCTGTGTGTGGTGATATTGATAAGAACTAGAATGGCAAGTTACAGACTAGAACAGAAAGCTGGGAGGGCTAGAATGTAAGGTATAAGAATTAGAATGGCAAGGTAGATCTGGTTCTCTATGGAAATTACACTGTCAGAAATTCAACAGAGATGTGAATTTCTGAAGGAAAGTAATTATAAACTTATTTCTACTTGGGAAAGTGATTTTTCAACTACTTTTCACTTTCAGCCTGGTTGCTAATACACAGCTCACGTTAAATCAAATAATTAGGGCTAAGCAACTTCCAATTAACTAAGTGTTTGGTTAGAATGAGTTAGAATGGCTTGGTGTTGTGAATCAGTTCATTATTTTTCCATTCTGCATTGGGTTTTGCTTATCATTGTGCAATAAGGAATTTAAGGTAGTAAAATGTCTAGCACATAGAAGAACTTTATCACTGTGACTAGCATGAGGGGACCCCCCCCAACCCACCTAACCTTCACTTGGCGTTCGCAATTCCCCTCCCTGCATTCTCTTGATCTTCCTGTATGTCAGAAGATGGCGGATGTGACTTTCTCCTCCTCTAGGGGGGGCACTTTCAGAAAGTGACTTTGACACCTTGCATTTGTATGTGGACACATGATTCTGCTGTGGCTAAAATAGGGGTCTCAGCTGGCTGACTCAGCAAAGAAGGCAGAGAAACACAGGGGGCACCCAGCTTCAGAAGGGTCAGAGGGGCCTCAGTACCTAGCTGGATGGCAAACGCGTGTTCCTATGGAGTTGTGACTCAGGACTTCACCCCTCTTCCCTCTGCAGTGTGGACGGAGGGGAGCTGTTCGACCGCATCATTGATGACAACTACAATCTGACCGAGTTAGATACTATTCTGTTCATTAAGCAGATTTGTGAGGGCATAAGACACATGCATCTGATGTACATCCTCCATCTGGACTTGAAGGTAGAGTGTGTTTGTATCATGTGACACGTAAGCCCTTCCCAGTCCTCCCCTTATGTGGCTCAGTGGGTCCTGATGGATACGATCTATCAACTCAGGAAATTTATACTGTCCCTAGTTACAAGTTCAGGATTGAATAAAAATCATCTTGCCAGTCCTAACTTCCCCTGATAGTTGCATCTTTAGAGACTGTGAATCAGAGAGTAACTTGTCTGTGTCAAAGAATTCCCATGGGAGGTGGTCTCCCTAAAAGTTTAGAATTCAAACTACCATCACTCTCATCACCATCACTATCATCACCATCACCACCACCGTCACCACCACCGTCGCTGCCACCACCATGGTATCTTTTTCTGTGTCCCCTGCATTAACAGGATAAGGAAATGCACAGATTTTAGGCCACCCGATTCCTTCACAGTAGCCAAACTTTCCAGCTCTCCATGAATCCGCAACGTACTCTTCAACTAAAATCTTGCAGAAAGCGCTAGACTTTAGGGATTTGTTCTTCTATGGGTATACTACACACTGAGGAGAAAGGCATGGCAGAGAGGTGCAGAACACCACCAGGATGGTGGTGCCAAGTGCTCAGAGGCAGAGAAGTTACCACCTAGGACATGGCAGAAGGCTCTGTGAGCAGGGGAGAGCCAAATTCGCCTGACGCTCTCTTGCTTAATGGCCCTTAGAATTTCATCTCTCTTCCATTCTGAGACTCCAGAATTGGACTGTACTCGTCCTGTAGTCAACCAGCTCTAATACTGGAGCTCAGCCTGCTAAAATGTATCGTCTTGTGCGGCTCAACCACTTTCTCACTTTCCTGTTTGTGTAAATCACCAGCGTGATAACACACAGATCTGACATCATACACCACAGATGGCAAGTCACCAGGGATTGCACAGCGAAATAAATTGAACTTCCTTAAGTAGGTTTCCACAGGCCTCTCCTCCAATAACGTGGCTTCTCCGACTGCCTGGATGGATGCACATTGCCTGTCCCTCTCACTGGGCAGCTTAAGTGGGGGCATATGGAGTGGCACGTCAGAGGTCAGACAGTGTTAGCGAGGCCCTTGGTTATGAGCCACGTTTGATGACGCCTGTTTTCATGGAGTGTTTTCACGGAATGTGGATTCTCTGCAGATGTCCCTAGAGGGGCTCGATGGACAACTGAAACTGGCTGGTTGTCAGTCAAATAGCACCACCTGTTTCTTCTTGACATTGATGGAGGACTTGCGATGGCCACTTTAGTTATGAGTGTTATGGAGAGATCGCGATACAGCAGCAGCTGGATCGACCAGTCATCCCTTTCGGAAAGCTCTTCGGGACAGAAAGGGTCAACACATTAGGCAGCTTGTCACTTTTAGAGGAGCTGATGTGAGACTTCAAAATGGCCTCCTTTCTATTTTCTGGCTTGCACTTCTTATTCAAAGAATATGCTTTAATTGCACAATTTTAAGAAAAATTTACCATGGAAGGGCCCTCCAAACTGTGTTTTTTTTTTTTTTACTTTCTGCAAGTAAATTTTTGTTTCCGAGTCCTCTGACAATCGGGCAGCTTTCTACATGATCGATCAGTTATTTAAGTATGAAACCAAATGTTTTTCTCTATCACCCTCTTCTCTATAAATAGCTTTTAGTTATAGACATCTGTTTTAGAAATACTTCAGAAAAGGGCTTCCAGAGTCATTATATGCAACCAAACGGACTTTAAATATTGATTGGGAGACACTATGTCATTTCATAAGTGTTTCTGAGTTCTGGTCTCATCTGAACTTCCTCTCCTCCCAGACAGGTAGAGAGGGACCCTCAGAATCCCACCTAAAGATGAGAAATGGTGACTGAGCTAACGTCCCCCGCATTTAGGGCAGAGCTGGGAGTAGAGTTTGAGAGTCCCAGGTGATTTTTGGACGCTTTCTTTCTTTTTGTTTATGGGCAGCCTTGAATTCAAGTAAAATCTCTTATTGTTCCCAGGTCCCAGTGTTTCTGTCCGAGTAAGTGGAGGCGCCCTTGTAAGACATTCTATAAAACCGGGTCACAAGGCCACTGTCTGCCTCTCTCCCCCTTCCCGCTACGGCTGTCAGATGGCCTGGGTGACGTCCAACTCCAGTGGAACACTTCGTCAAGCAGTTCAGGCGCTGAGACTGAACTCAGCAAAACTTGGGGATGGCCGGGAATGAAGAATGAACTGGGGGAACCTCCCTGTGTGTGCGACTGTCCCCGAGGGGAGGGCAGAAGGACAATCTGGGGGTCAGTAGTAGCCACGTTATATTGCATCGTCAGTGAGGCTGTTTCAGGGAATCAGGCCATTTCTCTTGGAACTCATAAATCCTTGGAACATACTCCTGCAAGAGGGGGAAATTCGTACTTAATAATTTTAGGGGGGCAGATGTCAAGTGTAAGCCGACTTCCACCAGTTCATTTGGAAGAGGAGGAAAACAGCCTCCTTTCCCTCTCTCCTCCAGCAGGCCTCTGCCTGAACTCATATATAAACTGCAGAGGCAGGAGACAGGCAGGCAGGGTAACGCTGGCTTGGCGGGCACCCACAACCTCCTCCACCACATAATTAAAGGAGAAAATACCCCCGCAGACAAGCCAGTCCTAGAGTGAAAGGCCTGATATGTTTTTCCTGAGCATCACTGTATTTTTAGTTGTGGCTCAAGGACAATTTGAGTGAATGATGGTTGTTTTCATTGCTAATGTGTCTCTTTCTCCTGGCAGCCTGAGAATATCCTGTGTGTGAATCGGGATGCTAAGCAAATAAAAATTATTGATTTTGGATTGGCCAGGAGGTATGTCTACTTGCAACTGGTGTGTGAATGAAGTTCGGGAGCATGATGGTGGGCTTTTCTTTGCAAAGATAAATCTGATATACCCCTTGGTTCCATACTCTCATTTAGCATTCAGTTGGTAAGAATTATGTCCAGCCTTACCTTGCTGACTTTGGGATTAGAATGTTTAGAAGTTTCTACAGTGCACACATGAAAAAAAAAAAAAAAACCAAGAAATTGAAAATGTAATAGCGGGGTTGCTAAATTCAGAGCCATAGTTTAGACTGTGCGAAGTTTATCTGAGTCTTTTATGGGGATTCTACCCACAAAGGGTAAACTTATTTTTCTAAAAAGGAATAATGTAAACACAATCATGAAGGGTTTTAAAACACTTATGTGAACACAGAACTTGTGCAAGCATCTGTTTAGGAACAGTAATTATAAAATGGATGTTGTAAATTATTGCATTTCGTTCACTCATTCATTAAGCCAGACAGTCAGTCTCATTCAAGCCATCTGAATGTCGAGCACTGTGCCAGTTTTTCTTTTCTTATTCTATAAGTCAAGTGTTCTAATTAGCCTGAAGAAGCACCTGGAACTGCTATATAAGTGTTTGTCACTATCTCTTAAAGTCTATGGATTTTTAAATTTGCTGTATGGTGAAGTTATCTTGTCTGATAGGCTGTACCTGCTCAATTTCCATGCTTTTTAATTGCTGCTCTCGCCTTTGGCTCCTAAATTTCAGATATAAACCCAGAGAGAAGCTGAAGGTGAACTTTGGCACCCCAGAATTTCTTGCCCCTGAAGTTGTGAACTACGATTTTGTTTCCTTCCCTACGGACATGTGGAGTGTGGGGGTCATCACCTACATGCTGTAAGCAGATCTCTAGCTTCTGACATTTGTTCCCAAGTACCAAGCGCACCAAATGAGTTTTTGCTGTTTTGAATAAAACCCCCGATTTAAGTCTGTTAAAAATAAAGAACACCGAGTCATCTCCAGTTACATTTCTAGGCACTCCTTCCAGCCCATCACCTGAGAAAGCAAACACATGCCTTCTTCACGAATCAACTCTCAGGACACCACCAAGTGCCCTAAAAATAATGTGAAAAACCTTTGTGTTCTGATCTGCTAAAGACACCCGCTAGCCTTCCCCCTCAAGGTGACACTCATGGCGCCTGTCATCTGAGTACATGACTGCACTTGGCAAGGATTGGAGTGTAACTGCTGCCTTCATTGCTGCCATTGTTTTATGAGGAGTTGGGGTGGGAGAGGTGAGCATTTTCATGATTGCAAAAACATATCACAAAATCATGCTATGTGATCAGGTTACTTGCTTATTTCAGTTTTAAATGACAGAATCAAAAGAGACGCTCATGTATGGCAAAGTACTCACTCTGGATCCCGTGTGCTGTAGGTTAAGCGGTCTGTCTCCTTTCCTGGGTGACACTGATGTTGAGACCCTGAACAACATCCTCGCCTGCAGGTGGGACTTGGAGGAGGAGGAATTTCGGGACCTCTCAGACGAGGGCAGGGAGTTCATCTCCAAGCTTCTGATTAAGGAGAAGAGGTAACCCAAGTCATTCATGCTCTGAAAGTGGTAGGGGTGATCAGGACACGTCCCACTGCCCCGGGTTATTGGAATGCAGGCCAAATAACTACTGACGTCCCTGTGATGGCTACCATGCCCAGGCAGAGCTTCAGATAAAATGAGCTGGCTACTCTTGACCCAACGTACTGAGATCTAGGGCTGCTTTGCTCATGAGGCTTGAATGAGGCTGTAAAAGCTTCCTTCCTTCTGCCTTTTGCAGTAAGTCTCCAGCAACTGGGGGCTCCTGCTAGGTCACAGTGGAACCACTCTCAAAGGAAGAGTTTGGGATAAATTTCCATGATTCTTTTTGCACCTACAAGCATACCTGGCTTTGTGTAGCCGCACACTTAATCATCACTTCATACGAGAACCCAAAGGACCAGGTGTGTCACGTGTGATGAAGGCATGATCTCTTAAGCCCCTGCCCAGCTCCACAAGGTGGAATTCAGCGTTACTAGTTCACGGATAAACTAAGCCATTTGCCTGGGATCATCCAGCTGCGATGTGGTAGAACTGATTATCAAACTCAAGTTGTCCTTCCCGCTAGGCCCACACTCTTTACTGCTATATGTCACACGGCCTTCTCCTTTCTGTCATCCTAAAACCTTACAGACTGACAATTCAGTGGATGAAATGATTTTGAAATATAGGGGTTTAAGGCTTGGAATTATGAGCTAGGGTGGGGTGGCGGGGGAGACATTGTGATTAGTCAGCCAAATGCATTGCTTGAGATGGTCTTATACCTAAACCTTCTAATAATGGTGTATTCCAGGGCCGAAAGGCCCAGTGATCCTTGCTTTGTTGTTTTATTATCTTTAGCGTGTTTGAGTTATTAGTAAACATAGCCACAGATCAGCAGATGGGGGGTGCAGTTGTGGGTGAGGAGGAGGAAAAGGACACGGGCAGCAAGCTGGCTTACGGGAGGTCTTTCCCTCTAGCACTTAGCTGGTTATCTGTGAACCCCGAGGAGATGTTTCTGGGCTATAGAGAACAGATACAGAAAGACTAGACCCTGCCTTTAGGTAACACAGCATCTCAGGGAAGACATGACTATTTTTTTTAAACCATAATAAAATGTGGATAACACAGAGATGGAGTGATAGGCTTGGGCCTATAGGGTAAACCAGGACTAAGGCTAGGCTGGAGCTCTTAGGAGAGAAGAGACATTAGGAGAGCTGACATTGCTTTTAGCTTTACTGGAAAGGCTCAGCAGCTGGTGCTGCTGTTATTATTACTTTTAACAGTAGCTGAGGACATTATTATTGCACGTGACTGTAGGTCAGGCAGCCACCGGTAGAGAAAGCCACCAGTAGTGGACCCTTCTGTGGCTGGCTTTCCCGCAGGGACTCTGCCCCTTGTACCCTGTTTACTCCCTTGATGTGACTGGGATTTGCAGACCCCTTAAACCCAATGGGCTTGCTCTGCACAGGCTTAGCAACTAGATGTCCAGTGTGGCTGGACATAGGCTGAACATTCAGACAATCCCCATAACAGAAGAAGAAAGTATGCACTCTATCAAAATCTTCGATGAATGAGAAATCCATGCTTAGTGAGAACTTTTTTTTTTTTTAACAGATGTATGTTTAAGTATTAACTGATTGAGTCTGTCTGCAAGCCCTGTGGGGTAGGATATTATCAAGTAGCGTTTTTCAGATAAGAAAATGGAGGCTGAGCGCAGGGAAGTGGTGATATAATAGCTCAGGGTAGATTCAGGGCCAGTGAGTGCCCACCCATTCCCTCAGTTCAGGGACTACCGTACCCACTGGGCAGGAGGTATTTAAGTTGGCACTTTCAAGAACAAAGACCAGAGTCAAATACCACTACCACAGAATAAATTTCTAGAGTCCAAAAATAAACTTGAAATTGTACTAAAAATTTAATTAGTAGTACGATGTTGTTAACTTTTGATCTGAAAAGGTTGACATTGGCATGTAGGAATAATTTTTTAGCTCTGTCAGCTACTGGGATGCTTCTAGGGAGGTCTAATACTGAAAAGTCATGATATTCAGTAGCCAAGGAAAAAATAACACTCCCAACTGAGGCTGGTGGAAGTCAAGATTTTTTTTTGGTTTTTATTTAATTATACCAGCCCATTTAGGGTCCTACTAATGGTGATGTTTTTAATCAGTTGTGTTTTCTATCACTAAGGTAAAGGCTTGACTCCCCTTCAAGTCTGACTAGTAAGTATTAGGTGAAACAGATTTATCAGGGTATTCCCACAATTTAAAGCTCCCTGATGCAGTGTCACTAACTTAAAGTTTTTATTTTGTAAGGTCACTTGGGTTGACGTGATAAATCTTAGCACACAAGATAAGTTTACAAGTCATAGGTTGGGGCATAATATAACCTTTCTTTGTTTCATTTAAAAATATGGCATAGCGCTCTGTAGGATAAAAAGGAGACAGTTTCTTTAGAAAAGGTATCTAGTTTATTTTCTCTCAATAGTTATATTAAGTCTCCACCTATTTCCTGATCTATTTAACTCTTCAAAATTGAATTCAAAAGTTAGGAATACGTATTTTTCTAAAGTCTTACTACCTAAGTTGCTTTCACCACTATAAAAATATTGTAATATTGTGTTCTTATAATTATAAATTTACATTTATTATTTAACTGACTGATAGACATTGAATTTATGAAGCTTGGAAATTATATTAAGAGTAATTACTTATATTTGAAAGTAAATGACCAGCTATTAACAATTTTTCTTGGCTCACCAGTGTGGTCATTCATCTATAATCACTGGTAACACAATTCAAGAAGAGGAAAATGGTCTGTGGACTTGACATTCAATCATCTGGTACACCAGAGGCAGCCGTCAGAGTTGAGGTTGGATGCAGCCTCATTGTTGTGTCCTTACTAATAACTTTCTGACTTTCCTGCTAGTTGGAGAATAAGTGCAAGCGAAGCTCTCAAGCACCCTTGGTTGTCAGACCACAAGCTCCACTCCAGGCTCAAAACACAGGTAATCAAAATTTGATGTTTATCCTCTTCATTGCTGGACGGCCTCAGTCTTTTCAGAATCAGATTCTTACACCTAATTGTGTGGTGTTAAACTGCTTACAGTGTTTGCTGAGCAGCTTGTTTTTAAAAATAAATGTCTGCCTTCTTTGTAATAGCCAAGATACAGAGACAACTTAAGTTTCCTTAAACAGATGAATGGATGAGAAGAAGTGTGGTTAGATACACAGTGGAACATTACTCAGCGATCAAAAATGATAAACTCATGCCAGTTGCAGCACCATCAATGGAGCTAGAAAGGACTATGCTATTTAAATGAGCCAGGAAGTAGAAGATAAGCACCAGATGGTGTCACTTAGGGGTGGGCTTTAGAGAGACCAAGCAATGGGTCAGACAAAGATAGACTCTAAAGCCAAGCTTTGAAAGCTGATAGATCTGAGGCATTCTGAGGGTGAGGGGACGGTGTAAGAGCAGGGCAGGGAGAAGGGGCATGGACTATGGTGGAGAAGTAGGGGTGCTTTGGAAATCCTATATCACCAGAATACAAACAGTGATGTAAACCAATGGTACTTCCATTAAACTTATGCTAACTCTCAATATATTGTTTATAGAGTATTACTTTTGACACAGCTATTTATTGTGTTTATTGTCAAATCATTATGTTCATTCTAAAATGAATTACATCACCGTCCCGTGTGCACACGTGTGAGTGCGTGCTCACAGACCTCCCAGTGTACATACACATATCAAGTTTTGGGGAATTTAGCCTGATGTATATTTATTCAGCATAAATATGTGGCCTTAAAACATAATTCAGAATTCTAATTTCTTTGCTATCCTGTTTTAGTCACCAAAGATCTTTAATATTCAGCTTGGTTCACACACTAAATGTGTTGAGTATAACTGAGTCTACACTCTGCAATTTCTTCTTACAATAAAATCCCATGTACTGTCTTCAGCTAATTACCCTTCACGTTCCAACCCTTTCATCTGTCCCTTTAGCACGGATTTCTTCCCTAAGCTTCAGATCTATATACACATCACACATTGGATCTTCTCAGACCTCGACTGAAATCTTCTCCTCTCTTCTCCCCTCACCCTCAACCATCCTCCCAGAACAGCACCCACCAACAGCCCAAACCATCCACAGTGAACCACCTTTGTCTCTTCCTCTCCTCCATCTCCTAGAATCTAACTTACCTGCAACTGCTGCACATGACTTTCCCTGTATGCTCCTGAATTCTGGCCGATTCTCTCCATCCCTCTAGTTATCCAGCCCTGCGACACTTCTCACACGAGTAACTACCACCGCCCCCACCTCCAGAGCATCTCCGTCCAAGTCACGGTGTCTTATGCAAGTCACACAGATGCAGCACTGAAGTAACTTCACTAAACACTTAGGCACACACGGAAAGGCCAGCTGGGGAGAGGCCTAACTTGAGCACCGTCGCTGTGGATGTGCTGGATACGGAGTGCAAGTCACCCTTTCATTTCCTGTACCCTTGCTCCCCTTCCTCACCACACCCCAGGGCTTGGGGACAGAGCCGTGTCACTGACCAACAAACCTTGGAATGGCTAGGCTTCAGGTACTCATTTTTTCTCATCCGGTTTTTATTGAATCAACTTGACTTCTAAATTCAGCATAGATACTAAGTTTTATTTGTGCTTGAATATACCTTTCCTTGATAATTGGTACTGATGTCAAGTAAAAATAGTCTTATTACCCAGTGTGTACTCACCCAGACTACATAAACTGCTTATTAGGGTTACCAACCTATTTTGGGCCAATTTTCCACCAAAGTATTTTTACCCAAGCTTATTGGTGTCCAGATACCTCCGACACCTAATTGGCATGTAAGGACACTATAGAAACCACAGCAGATAATTAATGACACTTTGCAGCTTCAAACATGTTTAAAAATAGTTTTAAAACCACATAACAATAATACAAGTTACCTTTTTTGTTATTTTATCCGACTGCTGGTTCCTAAGGTGAATAGATATTTCAAGAACGGTGGGGGTTTAAAAAAGAGAACAACACATTCCATTGTGTGAATCTAGTTAGTGCTCACGAAAGTCATAATTACATGGTGCACTGCTTTACAAAAAAAAAATACATTCCCTTACTGCTCAGACCAGTTCTGGCATTGCTCTTATTATGCAGATGAGGATGCTAAGGGTGGGGGGTGTATACTTGCCCAGGGCCCCACCGGGACCAAGTGACAAGTCTACACCCACTGCAGGCTCAGGATCTGGGCGGGCTTTCTTCCTTTGCTGTTCTAGTAAGTGATGGGCTGCTGGGTAAAATTTCTGGAACTTTCCATGGGTACCGTTCACGACAAAGTTTCTGGAAACATTCATGTACCGTTCATGGTGAAGTTTCCAGAACCGTTCATGTCCTGCACATTTCTGCTGTTACAGAAAGTCAGTATTCAAACTTAGTATATTTTATTTCTCAATAAAATATTGAGACTAAGATTTTTCCAGAAGCCTCATTGGATGGATAATCATGGCTCAGATAATTATAGAATCAGAATTAAGTCGAGGCTTTAACTCACCCCAAACTAAATTTTCCTGTTCAAATCTAAATTCTACTTTTTGAGTCTTTTATAAACTTTCATTTACCTCTTTCAATCATGTCAGGCTTTAAAAAACACTTAGAATTTCTTATCCACTGAGCAGGCCTAAAACCAAGCACTACATTTAAGAAGGATCTTTTTGCCTTAGAAGTTAAGGTTCTGATGTTCTCTGTCCTCTGCATTATACTGAATCTGGCATATTGTTTATAACCAGTATATTGTATATTTACATATGTAACCAGTATGTTGTCTATTTACAGTATACCTTATATACTGAAACTGGTATACTGTATGGAACCAGTATGTTGTCTATTTAGAGTATACTATATATACTGAAACTGGTATATTATATGGAACCAGTATGTTGTCTATTTACAGTACACCTTATACACTGAAACTGGTGTATTGAATGCAACCAGCATAGTGTATATTTATACACAGTGTATATACTGGTTTGATTCCCCGGCTTTGCACATTCCGCCTTTCCACTAGTCTATGTACAGTACCTCTTCCTATATCCCAGCCCCAGACACAACCCACCATTTACGAGAAAGGGCCCTCACTGTTGGAACTCAGCAAGTGTGTACTGTGGACTTAGCTAAGGCTTTGGGGCCAGAGGAAGGAACACTGAACAGATGTGGCATGGTTTCTTTTCTCCTAGAACTAACATGCCTCCACCTCTCCTTGCTGCTCCCAGTGGGACTTCCCTAGCTCAGGCCCTTCTTCCAATTTACGGAACTAGCAAGTAACTGACGAGCTGATGTTTAACCTCCATGTACCCTCTTCTCCAAGTGATCAAGTCATGACTTGATTCGTTACAGCTCTGGTCCTATTTCTCCTCCTCCATAAAAAGCAAAAAGCTGCAGGCGATCCCCACTGTCCACTCTAAGCAAACCCTCACGAGGTCCAGCTCTGCTCTTAACCATCCGCATCTTGGGCTTCCAGACTTTTCTGCAGTACTCTGTCCAGACAGTCCGGAAGTTGGCGATTGTCTACAAGGCCTGTTCTAAGCGCTTTGACTTTAAGTTAACTTTCAAATTAGCCTGAATGTCAAGCCACTCTCTGCGCCCCCAAACTGGAGGAGCGGTCTCTGTCTAGAGGCTCTCGGCGGCACGTCAGTCCCACGCTTGTCCCCTAAGTTTAGGAGCAGCCGCTTCTGTGTCTAACTCATCTTTGCCCCAATTTCGGTCTTAGCTCTTGTGGGCGGAATGTTGGTGGGAGTGAGTTTTGGCAAAACACGGGGGTGTGACAGTTGCTGTTAGAGGCTGAACTCTTTGCCCCTGACTCAGAGAAAGGTTGGGGGCCACAGGAGCGTTAGGGGGTACCGTGAGTTAGACTCCTTAGGCAGGTCAATATGTCCTCTGGGGCTGTCAGCAGTTTCAGCTTTGGGAACGTCTCCGGACGAGCATTTTCTGCTCAGAAGTAAGTACTTACTTTGCAAGTGTTCACGCACTAAAAGTCGGACTAATGCCAGATGTTCTAATCCATCTCCCAATGTCCTCTGGTTTTCCTAGAAGAGGAACTGCTGCTCAGATGTGCAGGACCCTCTGGCCAAATAGTCTGTGGACGGCGCCCGTCTGAAAGGTTGGTCTGGGGTCCTTTCTTGCGGGGGTGTTTCTCAAGTCCTAAGTGGGAGGAACAAGCAAGAGCCAGAATGAGCAGGAGATGGGTTCCGTTATGTGGGAAGCAGAGGATCTGGCTAAAGGCGAGGCAAGCGTCCTCAAGGCAGACTGGTTCTGCTGTTTTCTAGCACAGAACCCTTGTTGTCCTGACTGGTGGGCTGGGGCAGACCTGACTCCCAAGCTGGCTGAGTGACTCCCAGTGAGATAATCCCAGCAAAATCTTGAGCTCAGGGGTTGACATGGAGTAGGCACTCAAAAACTGCGACTGCGCATCGCACCACACAGGTAGTGTCTTCTGAAAAATACACCGTTCCATCAGCAAGCGAGCACAGGATATGGGACGCAGCTTCTTGGACCACCCTCGCCTCTGTGGCGCATCAGTGACCGAAATATTGACAAATGATGGTAATACAAAAGATGCCGGGGATTGAGCCGAACGTGCGCCCGCTGGTCTTTACGACTGTGGAACCGAGGAAGTGAGGCCCCTTTGGTACAGATGGGGAAACTGAGTCTCAGACTCAGAGGCCGAGTAGCTCGCCTACAGCCACAGCTCTAGGAACGGTGGCACAAGGCCCTCTCAGGAGCCTCTGAGCCCGAAGCCCAGCTCTCTCTCCCCTCTCTTCAGCTGCCTCCTGGCCTGGGCCCCCTGAGGAACTCCCACTTCACATGAAGCCTAGAAACACGCTCTCCTTCACCCTGCTTAGGATCCTGTCGAATTATGAAGAGGCCACTTAACGCATGGACGCCCTTTCCTGTGTCAAGGAGCTAGCCGGGGCCCTCCCCGGTGGTGCAGTGGGTTAGAGCGCTGCACTGCGAAGCGCAGCCCAGCTGTGGCCGCTTCAGTGAGTTCGATCCCCCCCTGCCCCGGAGCTGACCCACAGGGCGCGGCAGACCTCTCCTGTCTCACCGGCTGCCCCCCTCAGCAGTGGGCTTCGTCCATCTGCCTGTTCTGCTCCCCGCACTGTCTCTGGTGAATTCTCCACTCCCCCCGCACCTCTGGCCTGTACCCCAGTTCTGTATGCACAGATAAATAAATCTTAAAAAAAAAAAAAAAGAAGTTAGCTCAATGCATGCCCTAGGGACATAAACTCAATACAGAGGACGACATTTATGTCGTCACCGAGGGACCATCACCCTCCACTAAGCCAGCTCCCCGCTCTTGGGCAGTCAGCCCAGGGTCATTCTGAAGCTCAGGTTTAAGTCTGCATCCCTGCTGCCCGCTGGTCTTAGTCTTTCCTTTGAACGTATATTTATCCTGGCCCTGAGAATTATTTTTTTGGACTTTGACTCATCTAGTTTCTTGTAAGCGACCTTGAGTCTACTGTGCCAGTCGGTCAGTAGAACATGATAAAAGTAACAAACCTGAGTCAGGGAGACATTCAGCCCTGGAGGAAGGACCCCTTCATGTGGAGTCTGTCATTTCTTGCGAACTCCGTGGAAAGCGACAGGAAGTCTCGTGCTTTCTATTTACAAAGACCCTTCCTGTTGGTCTAAAATAGCAACGACACGGACATTTAGAGACAGGCTTCTGTCTTGTGCAATGACAATAAAGAACGACTGTGCTCCGGCCTGGATGGCGACCCTGGGGTTGGGGGTGAGGGGCGTGAACCAGCCTCGGCCCAGCGGGTGTCTGCAGGCAGCTGTGTCCCTTGGTCTCCGTCTCTGTCTCTCCTCTTACCCTGGTGCCCGGAAACAGTTTTGTCCCTGGCTCCCACAGCCTCCAGGGTTTGCCACAAACCACCTTCCCACCATCAGCACTGGCGTCACTTAGCGGGCCTGCTGGGAACGGGTGTTTTCGATGATAGGTTGCAATGTGAGGCCAGCCTGTCGCCTGGGTCTGGCGGGAGGAAATGGCGGTGGGAGGTGGTAGAGACCTACCAAGACAAGTTGGCACTGAACCCGGCCGGCAGAGGACAAAGGCAAAGCCTTCCCGCTGGTGGCGTGGGGTGATGAGGTACTTGCTGGAGGCGACTTGCTCAGGGCGCCCTCCGGTGGCCACTGGGCGTCCTGCCAGCCTGTCCTGAGTCCGGCCCCTGAGGGCCTCAGACACTCACTGGGTGGCATCAAGTAAGGGGACCGTTGCCTCAGGGGCAGGCCACGTGGGTAAGCCTTCCTTCCCCCTAGTCAAACGGTAAGTAAGGGGCCCTCCCTGGTGGCACCACAGGTTACAGCGCCGCATTCGGAAGCTCTCTGAAGGCCCTGCAGCGAGTTCCACCCCGCAGCAGGGCGAGACCCACGTGGCTCAGCAGACCCGGCCGGCTCCTGACCCGCCGCTGCTCCCCTCAGCAGTGTATCGCAGTAAACCTGCCTGTTGTGCTCCCCACTCTGTCTCTGGGGCAGCCTCTCACTCCCCGCACCTCTGGCCTGGACCCCAGTTCTGTAAGCATAAATAAGTAAATCTTTAAAAAAAGAAAATGTAAGTAAGGTAGTGACTCCGGGAGCAGCCTCGCTTGGGATGAATGCCTTAAAAAATCACTTTCACAGTACTATTTCCTGCTAGGACAAGATGGGTTTTTGGCAAGATCTATTATGAGTAAAACCAACTTTGAGATAATATTGATTTTTGAAATCTGGTGGTTGAAAATTATTCCTGTGGAAAAAGAACAACTTCCAGGTCCGAAGAACAGGGCGTGACCCACCACACACACTGAGGGTGCGAGAGCCCTGCAGGATCTAGCCGGCCCGGGGGGCCCCCACTCAGATGCGGGGCGAAGCAAGCGGAGTCACTCCCTCGGGCTCTGCAGCCCCATTTGATGCCAGGCCAGGCTGACGATGGGCAGCAGGGCTGGGAGCTGGCGGCCTGCAGAGGGAACAAAGAGACCTTGTCCGGCCGTGGGCCGTGGGGGCGTGGGGGGGGACCCCTCCTGCATAGACTGAAAGAAAGCACAAAGCTCCAGCTCCTCAGGGCTCTCTCTCCCCCTCTTGCTACACACATCCATTATGAAAACTCATTTGTGGTTTCCCTAGGGGGCACAACCAACTAATTACAATTTTAAAAGCCCTGTTGAATTAACCAGAGTCATATTTTGTTTGCTTTGCAGGAAAACTGCTGCGGTTGCCGCCGCTGCTTTGAGAAGATTTTTGGGAAAATCAGCAGTTCTGGCCCCTATGAGGACTGCGGCCGCGAGGGGGCTGGAGGGGGTGCCCGGGCTTGAACTCCGAATGCCCCTGCCACGCTTGCTGGGGTGCCCAGCTTGGTGTGGGTGCGGCGGCCCAGAGGCCCCCCCTCAGGTCCCTCCACCCTCCAGTCTACACCTTGGAAACTGCTCTCCCTCCGCGTTGAATTTTTTCTCCTTCACTTTTATTTTTTGACCTTAGTCACTGGGGCAAGGGGAACGCTGTTGCTGCTGTTTCTGAGCTCACTGGGGCAATCCTACTTGAAAGAGGGAAAAAAAACCCAACAACAACAACCCTCTTCAAGGCCTTCAACTGTGCCCTTTGAAGGGGTGACCACCACCCTCGGAACTTCTCCACGTGGCGGCCCTTTGAACACTTCACTTCTTGGACTTCATGGCTTTGACCTGCTGAAATCAGGTGACTCAAGTCCGTAAATGATTTCTTTCTGGAACATACGCTTCCCTTGGATTCCGAGGCCAGCGGCGTCGGGCACTGGAGTTCTGCTGGGGCATCTGTTTCTCCTGAGGAACCGACTCACTTGCAGGTGCGCGAGGTGTGTGCTCACGAGACAGTTCGGACCCCGGCGCACGGGATACTCGTGGCTCGAAACACTCTGGCTTTGGGGGCGGCCTGGCCTGAGGGGCATCCGCTCAGGGCCGGTCTTTGACGCGGCAGCCTCTCACACAGCGTCAGCAGTGGGGAACCCAAGCCGCCCTAGTCAAGGACGAGAGATGGCTTTTGTGCATTTGGGGGAAGGAAGGTGATGCTTTGCTTCCAAGGTTGAAGGGACCCGAGAAAGAGCACCAGGTTTCTGGGCAAAGGTAGATGGCCACGAAGCCCAGTGGTCTCCCTGCATGGTGTCGTCGGCTCTGGGGATGGAAGAAAGAAGGCTCAGGACCCGAAGGTGAGCCATGGCGGCACCAGACGGGTGTGGCCTCCTGCTAGCTTTCCAGAGACAGATTTCCAGGCGGAAGCTTCATGAACAAGATGCGCCTTTCCGTCAATGGGCTCCAGCAGGGCCCCTGTGGAGGGGCGTGCACCATTTCTTTAGCAACACGAGTGGGTGCGAAGTCCCAGGCGCCCGCGTCCATCTGCGAGCGCATCCTCAGCTTCTTCAGCCGTCCTCGTCTTCCGTTCGCAAGCGACAGTGGTGTGGAGAGCGGCTGCAGTCACATCTCTGTGTGAACTGTCGATCCTTTGAGGCTCCTCTTGTGACAGCAGTGACAGGAAGCAGGGAACAGCGTGGCTGCGTTGGCGAGGGTGGGTTCCACTTGCCGTGGCCTTCTCCCTCACTTCTCTGATCTACCTAGGGAGTCCTGCTGCGTGCCCCTGAAGGGCTTTCTGCAAAGGCCTTCTCGTGTGTAGGGAAAAGGGCAAGGAGAGACACAAGGTGTATAATTTAGTCGTAGCCACTTGCCAATTTCGTGGTCATGCTAGCTAGAAAACTGAAGCTTCCCAGCCTCTGTGCCTGCACTAGGAGACGTTTCTCTTTTCCTCAGGCCTGTGCGTTTACCCAACGCTGGTTTCCCCTGTTCCTGTTATGTGACTGTACTTAAAATGTTTAATTTAGTTTCGTAAAAAAACAAAACAAAACAACAAAACCCCGTGACTGAAGTGTTACATTACCGTGCTATCTTTAGCCCCTGGTATTCATTGAGTCTGGAAAAATACCAGCCAGCCTTGCATCCACTCTCAGCCCGCAGTGCTGGCATTCATTCAGATGCTAAATAAGACACAGGGGTCTGATCTGAAACCCCTTGTGAAGGGCGTTTTCTGTCCTGTGGTGTGGATTCTCTACCAGATGGAGCAGCAGGTTTTTTTTTTTTTTTTTGCACGATTTGCAGCT